TCCGGACTTAGGTCACTCCTTTTGTCTCCCTTGAGCCCCTGATGAATCCCAAATGCTTCCAAAAGCTCCATGTGATGCTCCAATACCTAAAAGGGACTCATGTATGCAAAATGCAACCTAAACATGGCTAAAACCTATTCTACATGATGAAAAGGAATGCAAATGAAGAGATAAAACAATGTAATAATGCAAGACATCAGTAGACATGAAGACGTTTTGATGTCTAATGTGGACAAGAGTATATTGTATTGTTGTGTAATATACAAACAGAAAAGAGTCACGAGTACCTAGATTCTTTTGTATACACTTTGTTCGAGGTTAAGACAAAATTGTTGACTCAACTCCCTAGTGGGATCCATTGAATGTGGGGTAGAGTAACGTAACCTTCTTTTTGGGAATTTAACTCGACTGGAGTGGAGTTGCACGACCATACCGTATTCAAGCGAACCGGAGCTAAGCAATTAGTCGGTTTCATATTAGGCAAGGATTAAAGCTGTATTAGGCAGAATTGATTGTTTAGACTAATCAGGGTCACATGTCGCGAATTAATATCTACTTGTTTCTGCTCATCTGTCCTAACTGTAATAATTGAATCCACGAATTATGATACTAGTACCTTGGAACAAAATAGTTAACTTAGTAAATTTTTAATATCTGTAGTCGGATATATTGTATATTCTCTTACTTATAGAATATAGTTTCCAGAGGATTAATAGTATAATTGATTCCGGTTAGAAGGAGGATTCATTGGTTAGTTGTAATTGAGAATGGTTTGGAGTTAGCTTTCTTTTGCAGGAGAGTAGAGATCTGGTTCGGGTTTCAGAATATAAAACCGATACAAAGAGATCTGAGAAACGGCACGTCATGACACAGTGTCACAGTCTCAAAAGCTGCGGTTACTAGCAAGTAACCTCTTGTGAGTTCTCACTAGCATCTACTGTATATAATTAACTCTTTCTCTCTTCAAGTCAGAGACCACAGATTACGAAAGATATGCCTTCTTCGTTTATCTCCTCCACTGCTTTCTTCACCATCCTTCTTCTCCATCTGGGTTTCTGCCACGTGTCCCATGGTGCTCAACATGCAACTTACATCGTTCACATGGCGCAATCCCAGATGCCGTCGAGCTTCGACCTCCACTCTCTCTGGTACGACTCTTCTCTCAGATCAGTCTCGCAATCTGCTCAACTCCTCTACACTTACACCAACGCCATCCACGGCTTCTCCACCCGGCTAACTCCCCAAGAAGCCGACTCGCTCCTGACTCAACCAGGTGTCATCTCGGTCCAACCAGAGCACCGGTACGAGTTACACACCACTCGCACTCCACTGTTCCTCGGTCTCGACATCCACAACGCCGACCTCTTCCCGGATACCGGCTCATCAAGCGACGTGGTCGTCGGAGTTCTCGACACGGGAGTTTGGCCAGAGAGCAAAAGCTTCTCCGACGAAGGCTTCGGTCCTATCCCTTCCACGTGGAAAGGCCAATGCGAGGCTGGAACTAACTTCACAGCCTCGCTATGTAACCGTAAACTAATCGGAGCTAGATTCTTCGCTCGTGGATACGAAGCAACGATGGGACCAGTGGACGAGTCCAAAGAATCAAGATCTCCCAGAGACGACGACGGTCACGGGACCCACACGTCATCAACCGCAGCTGGATCAGTCGTGGAAGGAGCTAGTCTGTTAGGATTCGCAAGTGGGACGGCACGTGGTATGGCTCAACGTGCCCGCGTGGCTGTTTACAAAGTTTGTTGGGAAGGTGGTTGTTTCAGTTCGGATATCTTAGCTGCGATCGATAAAGCTATAGACGACAACGTCAACGTTTTGTCGATGTCTCTTGGGGGAGGGACGTCGGATTATTATAGAGACACCGTCTCCATTGGAGCATTCGCGGCGATGGAGAGAGGGATATTAGTCTCCTGCTCGGCCGGTAATTCTGGTCCAAGCTCTTTCACTTTATCGAACGTAGCTCCGTGGATCACTACAGTTGGTGCTGGTACGCTAGATCGTGATTTCCCGGCGGTTGCGATACTGGGCAACGGGAATAACTATACAGGAGTTTCTTTGTTCAAAGGAGAAGATGCACTTCCCGCTAAAATGATGCCGTTTGTTTACGCGGGGAATGCTAGTAACGCGACTAACGGGAATCTATGCATGCCTGGAACGTTGACTCGGGAGAAAGTGAAGGGGAAGATAGTGATGTGCGACAGAGGAGTGAACGCTAGAGTTGAGAAAGGAGAGGTGGTGAAAGCTGCGGGTGGAGTAGGTATGATTCTGGCTAACACAGGAGAGAACGGGGAGGAGCTTGTTGCTGATGCTCATTTGTTACCAGCCACAGCGGTGGGAGAGAAAGCGGGCGATATCATCCGGCATTACGTCGTAACCGATCCGAATCCAACGGCTTCGGTTCTGATTAGAGGAACCGTCGTTAACGTGCAGCCATCTCCCGTTGTTGCGGCGTTTAGCTCGCGAGGACCTAATTCCATCACGCCGAATATTCTCAAGCCGGATTTAATCGCCCCTGGAGTTAATATCCTCGCGGGTTGGACCGGATCTAAAGGACCTACCGGTTTAGCCTCCGACTCTCGGCGCGTGGAGTTTAACATCATATCCGGGACGTCAATGTCGTGCCCTCACGTGAGCGGTTTAGCTGCTCTTCTCAAGTCCGCGCACCCGGAGTGGAGCCCCGCGGCGATCAGATCCGCTCTCATGACCACCGCTTACAAAACCTACGAAGATGGAAAACCTATCCTTGACGTCACGACGGGAAAGCCTTCGACGCCGTTTGAGCATGGCGCAGGACACGTGTCGCCGACCGCAGCCATGAATCCAGGGCTCATCTACGACTTAACGACCATGGATTACTTGGGTTTTCTCTGCGCCTTGAATTACACACCGTCGCAGATCACGAGTGTCTCCAGACGTAATTACACTTGCGATCCGAGTAAGACCTACTCCCTAGCTCATCTGAACTATCCCTCCTTCGCTCTTAACGTTGACGGTTCAGGCGTGTACAAGTACACACGCACTGTCACGAGCGTTGGAGGAGCTGGGTCTTATTCGGTTAAAGTGAATTCGGAGACAGCTGCAGTCAAGGTTTCGGTTGAACCGGCGGTTTTGAGTTTCAAAGAAATTAATGAGAAGAAAGCCTACACAGTGACGTTTACACTAAACTCCTCTAAACCCTCTGGGTCTAACAGCTTCGGGAGTATCGAATGGTCAGATGGGAAACATGTGGTGGCTACTCCCGTGGCCATTAGCTGGACATAGTTGTAAATTTATGCAAAATTAGAGAGAGAGCTTAATGGAAAGAATAAAGTCGCACTAGTTAGTTCCCTTTTTTGTAAGCAAAAAATGGCATGCAGTGTGTTCGTGGGCTGTATCTACTATGTTATTGAAATTTCTCTCTTCTCTTTGATATTCCCAAGCCACAAGGATTAGTATAAGCTGGGTCTCTACATGGCTATCGTCTACTTGAATCTTTAATTTTCAAAAGTAAAAAGGTTAGACTACATTAGCTGCTGCTAGTGGTTTATGATTGTAGGTATGTTAAAAGTAACTAGAGTTTGATCAGCGCAGATATTGATTTTTTGATTTTTATATATTGATATTTGTTTTTAATGATTAGTGTTTTATATTTTAGATGTACCCATGTATGCCTAATTGTATTCAAAAGATCTGGTCTGAATCGGGTAATACGTTTATTTTTAGTACAAATATCCAAATCCGTTTCAGATACATTGGTTATTAATATATTTTTTATGTTCCTACACATCAAAATCAAAATCATTTAGATCATGGACGATCCAACTTGAACCCCACACATAGATTTATAATATCCAAGCATGACCTAATTTCAAAACCCAAAAAAATTGATCCCGAAAGAAACAACTTGTATAGGAATGAGTATCTGAATGTCCATACATAACTGGTTCTATAAATATTTTTTTCTTTCTAAAAAACTATTTCTATATGTTTGGCTAAAATAAATGAAATAGAAAGAATTTTCTGTTTGGTAAAATAGTTGTCTGGAGTGAAAATTAAGTGACAAAAAATGTGATACGTTTTAATTATTTTGATTTAAGTTATTATTTTGTTCATATACACTATGCATTTGAATTATATGTTTGGCTACATATTTTTCATGGATTGGAACTAAGATAGAAGAAAGTTTTAGTAAAACAAATTAAACCGAACTATTAACCATATGCAAAACCCGGTTATTTTACATTTTTGATTTTTTATAATTTGCACAAAGTTAATGTTGATTAACTAATAAATAAAAATCTACACTATTACTTTTATTGTAATATAGTTAATGATTTGCTGTATTATTAAGTTAAATATAATTAATGTTGTGATATATTGTTAAGATAATATAATTAATGAAATTACTAAAAAACCCTATATTTTTTATACTGCTATCCGTGTTTCCAAACACTTCCCATTTATTTTGCTATTCATATTTCCAAACAATTCTCATTTATTATGCTATCTATGTTTTCAAACAACTGTCAAATGTACTTCAGTTTTAATAATATCGACTAGATTTAGGCCCGCAGGCCCGTGCGGGTGTATTTTTAAAAAATATATTGCTATTTGTTTTTCATATCAGTATATATATCATATACGTATCATCATATAATTAATAGTAGTTTGTACGTACCATAATATAAATTATTGCTGAGTTTGCGGGTCGATCCGTTCCGCTGCGAATTGAATCATTTTTTGATTCAAAAATTTGATACGCAAGTAGAACTTTATTATACCTGAAACCGTTCTGTTTAAATTAATGTGTAAAAGTTTAATATTTCTATTGCAAATATATTTCACAAAATGTATTCCAAATCACTTAAACTTTGGAATTTCAAAGTGCGGATATTATTATTTTTTTAATTCTATAAAAAATTGATAGTTAACGGATTATGTGTGTTTTGTATGAGATAACCTACTACGTTTATGATTTGTGGAAGTTTGTTTTGCTTTGTAGTTTATAAAACAACAAAGATATTCATTTAATATAGATTTCTATACTTTTTAAAATGTGGGTTTAATATTTAAAAATTATTTTATTGATTAACAAAATAAATTTAAAATATTCTTAAGAAAATCACTATATAATTAGAACGTTTCTGATATATTTTTGTAATCAAATCATATAAATTTGCTAAGATAATGATTTACATTAAGAAAACTGTCCCAAATCTTACCTAGAAAATAAATATGAAATGTGAAGATAATGACTTAACATGAGATTAATAACAAAAAAGATAACTGTTAAAGATAAAAAAATTAAAAGAAAATGAATAATGATCAAATCATATGTGGCATAAACTGTTATGCGCATAAAAATGAATAACTGTTAAAGAGGAATCATTATGATAGATCATCTGCGCATAAACAAAATTCAGAATCAGAAAACAAAAAAATATGTGTATATATATAAAGTCTTAACATTCTAAAATAAAATAAATTTACTAAATTCAAAGCAGAAAAAATAACATCATAAAAATCCAGTGACTTCGTTTCTCTGCTGTTAATGTCTTATATATAGTAAATTGGTAAACGTTTCTAAACGACATAGCTTTCACGAGAAAGTTTAAAATAAAATATTCTTTAATAAAATTTCAAAAATATTATACTTATAAGGTAAGATTATTTTTGGAATATCTTGTTGGTAAAGGAGAATATTTCTTGACTCGATTGTACCAGAATTTTGGTTGACAGATTTCACTATAAAAATTAAATATTAAATACATGAAATTATGAGAGAAGATATCTTATCAGCTGATTTTGCAATAAATTTGTGAATGACATGTTTTATAACAAATATTTAAATGCAAAATATATATTAGATAAAAGTAAAAATATTTAACGAATAAACATTGGTTCTTGTTTATTTGTTGTTTACGTCATACTACTATTAAATTGAAAATAAAAGTCAAGAAAACTTACCAATACAATCCAGTGTTTGAAGGTTGATACAAAATATTTTAAATTCTTGTAGCGATTATCTTTTCCATAGCTATTCCAATGAAATAAATTTGTGACATTAAAATGATCATGATTAGATTTATTATATATATTATTTATTGAAAAAACTCAATTTTTTTCTAAGTTAAAAAAATATTGTATTTTGTCTTAATGCATAATTTCATCATGCATTGACATAATATTAAAAAGGTCTGAAACTTTAATTTCTGAGTTTCTTCAGAAAAATACAAATTTTATACGGATTAGTTCACGAAATTAGGTGGAATATGAAGTTTTTATTAAACTACTCATTAGAATATTAGAAACGATGCCCATATACCAAAAATATAAATTTCAACATATATTAATATGAATTTTGAATGTGATTAGATATTTTTAATCAACAATAATGAGCTCAATCTTTAGCATGTAGCATTTATCGGAAAATTCGTTTTTTATTTTTTTTTCCGAAAAATTCATATTTTAAGATAAATTATAAAATATGTTATTTTTGTTTTAATTCATATCGGCATCATACATTGACATAGTATGAATATTAAAGAAGTTTGAGACTTTAGGTATTCCCCGTTTCTCCAGAAAATAATTTTTTAATAGGAGTTAGTCCACTAATTAGTTGGTGTAGAAAGTTTAAATAAATTACTCTTTAAAAATTAGAAATGATGTCCATATACCATAAAATAAATTTATTATACATTAATGTAAATTTAGATTGTTGTTAGATATTTTTAAACAACACTAAAATATGCTAAACTTTAATAAATATGACACTTATTGGAAAATTTAATCTTTTCATAGGGTTTAACCCACAACCCACATATTTTAAGATAAATAGAAAATATTCTTTATTGTTATAACGCATAGCTGCATCAGGAGCTGACAGAGAACAAAGATTAAATAGGTTTGACATCTTAGGTTCTCCATATTTTCCAGAAAATAGAGTTTTTATAGGGGTTAATCCATTGTTTAGGTGGTATGAAGTTTAAATAAATTACTAGTTGAAAAATTAGAAATGATATCCATGAAAAATAATTCAAAATAAATTACAAAATATAATATTTTGTTTTAATACATACATCATCATGCAAAGACATTTACATATACCACTTAATAAGAGGATTAACCCCAACAAAAAAAATATTTTTTTGAGAAACAAGAATACCTAAAGTCTCAAACCTCTTTCATATTCATATTATTTCAGTGCATGATGCTTCTATGCAGTAAAACAAAAATATCATATTTTCTAATTTATCTTGAAATATGTGGGCTAACACCCCTACGAAAAGATCGAGTTTTCCAATAAAGGCTATAAATTGAAGATTAGGCTCTTTATTGTTGATTAAAAAATACAAAATCCTATTATTAATTTATATTAATGTATTTTAAATTTATTTTCATGGTAGAAAAGCATCATTTTGAATTTGTGAACGAGTAATTTATTTTACTATCATATACCACTTAATCAGTGGACTAACCCCAATAATTTGTTTTTGGGAGAAACGGGAATACCTAAGGTCTCAAACCTCTTTAATCTTCATACTATGTCAGTGCATGATGCTTCTATGCAATAAAAAAAATTATTATATTTTTTTTTAACTTATGTTGAAATATGTGGGCTAACCCCTACGATAAAGATCGAGTTTTCCGATAATGGCTACAAATTGAAGTTTAGGCTTTTGATTGTTGATTAAAAAATATCAAATCAGACTATAAAGTTAATATAATGTATTTTAAATTTATTACCATGGTACAAGAGCATTTTTGAATTTTTGAACGAGTAATTTATTTTAAGGTCTCAAACCTCTTTAATCTCCATACTATGTCAGTGCATGATGCTTCTACGCAGTAAAACAAAAATATCAAATTTTCTAATTTATCTTGATATATGTGGGATAACCCCTACGAAAAGATCGAGTTTAGTTATAAATTGAAGTTTAGGCTATTTATTGTTGATTAAAAAAAAATACCAAATCAGGTTATAAATTTATATTAATGTATTTTGAATTTCTTTTCATGGTACCAGAGCATCGTTTTAAATTTTTGAACGAATAATTTATTTTAAGTTCATATACCACTTAATCAGTGGACTAACCCCAATAAACATTTTTTTTTTAGAGAAACGGGAACACCTAAGGTATCAAACCTCTTTAATATTCATACTATGCCAGTGCATAATGCTTCTATGCAGTAAAACAAAAATATCATTTTTTCTAGTTTATTTTGAAATATATGGGCTAGCCCCTACAAAAAGATCGAGTTTTTCTATAAAAGTTATAAATTGAAGTTTAGGCTCTTTCTTGTTGATTAAAAAAATACTGAATCCGATTATTG